CAGATCATGTAACATACGTGGGAGAGATATGCTTACAAAATTGTATATGGAGAACATGAAAGGATGATACCACATAGGAACTTGACCACGGATGGGACAGTGTCTATAAGATATAGGGTATGGGTTAGCAAACTGGATTCAGCTGGCTCAGGATAGGGTCCTGTGGCAGGTTCTTGTGAACATGGTACAGAACCATCAGGTCCAGTTAAAGGTTTGTATTTTCTTCACCAGCTGAGCAACAGTCAGCTTCTCAAGAACTGTGTTTGGTGGGGTTAATTAAATGTTCAAGTACAGGTACCTAATTCTTTTCATTTAGTATTGTGTAATTTGAATAGCCTAAAAGAGATTTCATCTGCAGTCTTTTAACAGAAATTAATAATCGTTTGATTTCTGGGCACTAGTCAAATGATGCATTAGATTGAACAAAATACATGTGTGCCCCTGGTGGATACATACTCCTAACACAGGTCCTTCAGTTAAGAGTTCGGCATAGATAGGTGTAACATGTTGTATGATTTACATTTTGTAGGTCAGTTTTCAACATGACAAAAACCTTCTAGGTCAGTGCATGTTGTGTGTGTGCGCTTGTGTATCGCCTTGTAGTTTAGAATGAATTAACCAATGTTCATAAACTTTGTATGAAAATTTTGCAGTTGGAAGTAATCCTGACACTGTACTTTAAACTTCTTAACTTGGACATTACTATTGCTAGAACCGTTCTCTGTAGGATTTTGAAATTCGTATAGTAATATGTGTAATAAATTTTTGCAACTTTTTGTGGTATATTTATCAAACTATTAAACTAGGGGAAGGGCGTGGACTGTGGTATGCTGGGAGATTACAGACTAATTTCATGGAGCAGAATCCTTGAGAAGCGAACACTTACGCTGCTGGTCTAGGAATTCCCTGCTTTTTTGGACCCTGAATGTTCACTATCATGTTTCTAGGGGCCAGCAATTGATTCCTATCTGGAGTTACTTGTAGGTCTTCAGCTAGTCTTGTTCTTTCATGTTCTCAATGAAAATTTTTTATGCATTTTTCATCTCTCCAGGAGCCGGGATAGTGCAGTTGGTATAGCGACTAGCTATGGGCTGGACGACCAAGGGGTCGGAGTTTCTGGTGGGGTCAAAAAATTGTCTCCATGTCATCCAGACCAGCCCCAGTGTCACCCATCCTCCTATCAAATGGGTACTGGGGGGGCTCTTTCCCGGGGGGTAAAGCGGCCGGGGCGTGAAGCTGACCACTCACCTCCAACCAGTGCCAAGGTCAAGAAAATGTGGATCTATACATCCACTCCCCTGTACGTCTTCATGGCATAGTGCTTAATTAGTTAAGCACAGGGACAGCTTTACCTTTACCATGCAACCTATATACCTTGCCCATTTCCTCCTTGATTTGATCATCACAATAACTGGTGAAGAGTACAAATCATGAAGCACCTCATATGCAGTTTTCTGCAGTGTCCTGAAACAGTATCCTCACATTTGGATCTAAATTGAGGTATGATTTAGATCTGTTCTTGTGTTTAAAAAGTACAGATATATGTCTTTGAAAGTAAAGCTACCAGTTTTCAGTATTGGAAGTCAGGTAATAGTGGAACTTCTGTACAAAATATCTCACTTAAGTTCTTCATTTATTATATAATTTATAAGACTAGATGTAATATTCTAATAGAAACATTGGAAGGAAAGTAGGCATTAATCCTCAGAAGTAGTGTTTTGATGAATTCTGGACCAAGACAGTGTTTTAGGCTGCGCCATAGCTCAAGCAGTTAGTCGCTGGCTTCCCACCGCAGCGGCCCGGGTTCGATCCCGGGTCTGGTCAAGTGGGATATGTGGTGGACAAAGTGGTGCTGAGCCAGGTTTTCTCCGAGTACTTCGGTTTCCCCTGCCAATCTTCATTCCATCAAACTCTCCATCATCATAATCACCCGGAGCAGGCTACAATAGGCCAATCAGTGGCCGCCGTGTCAAGTGGACCCATTTGGACTCCATCGCCCATTAAACTAATTAAAAAAAACGAATGTTTTTATCTGTGAATGTTAGCCAAAAGAAAACTTTTTTTCCCCGCAGTACTCCTAAAATTTAAAACAAATAAGAACAATTCAATTAAATACAAAATTAATATAAATGGTCTGTTACCTGTGTTCAGTATACATTACTATAATGTGGAAAACCAAACTTTTTTGGGAAGCTCTTCTGCTTTGTGTTTTTGAGGTCCCACATTCAGATCTTGGCACAGCGACCGGCTGCTCTGAGTGTAGTTTTAGTCGTTTTCCTGAGTCACTCCATGCAATTGTTGGAGCAGGACTGCAAATTAGCCTGTGACTATGACCTTCCACATCCTTTCCAGTTCATTATTCATTAATGATCCTATTATTCAGCACTGTAGTCTGAGCTACTGACAGTCGTTAAATAAACCATAAAATAATGAAATAGATAATATTAATTACAAAAGGCTGAGGGTATCAAATCTTACAGGCTGAGGGTAGTTCAGAAATGGGTTGTGCTGATTCTCATTACAGCAAATTGGAACAAGTCTTGTGAGAACATGCTTTTATTATGTCAACAAGAAGTACTGGGTAATACTGGGAGGTGAAAACCTTAGTGAGCCGGACTTTCACAGAATACTTGGAGCACTGATTTTCCTGTCCAGAGCTGATGATATAGCAGGGAGCTTTGAACAGACCTTACCAATGTGGGTATCCTGCAGTAGATTCTTACAGTCCTCCTCTTTTTTGTTCAACATTTGAAAGAATGCCCCAGTAACAGATGTTCTGGACAGTCACAAAAGCACTAAGTTCAAACCAAGCTTCGGCATCACTCAAGGAAAGAAGTACCACATAAACAGTTCCATCAGGGACAGAAGGTTATGTGTACGGCTGGATCTGCAGGAATCAACTTCTGAAACACTGACGTCATTTCCATTCTCACTTGAATGTCCTCAAGTCTCTGTTCTATGACAGCACACTCGAGACATAATTTATTTTTATCAAGGGCAGAACCTGTTTCTTGTCACTTGTCAGAGAATTTCAGAGTGCAATTTTTTGATGGTTCCATAGCCTCTGGATAATGCTGTTGAAACTTATGGACACCATGGCCTGTAGGACTTCTTTAGAAGAATTTTCTCGAGAAGGAATATATGTTCTGTTATGTACCTAACCATCCTTAAATCATGTCTGTTCACTATGAGAAACAGCTTTCAATGAGTAGACCTTTGTCAAGTAACAGTGTGGGCACAAAGCAAGCCTTGTTATGACAGCATGACTTATGATCAAATCATCATCTACAGGACACTCACACTCACTGGCTAGGGCATCAATTCTGGGCAGGATGAAAGCCACACTCTCAAGAGTCCCATTAAAGATCAGGTCCTTTAGTATTGGACCTTACTATATAAAATCATTCCATTTTCTTCATTCAGTTCTGTCTGCATGGTGGTTGTCTAGGAATGAAACAGCGGTGGACAGTCATCACTTCTGCATTATGTACCTTATATAGTATATAATGCAGAAGTGATGAATGCCCACTGCTGTTTCACTGCTAGGCATCTAGACCCAATCTTATACATAGTGATGTCTGACTTTATTATCATGAAGATAATTTAGTGTTAGCTTCTTGGACTGCACTAACTTTCATGTATCAGTTAAGAAGTAAGTGCCCTGCTATTATTTTATATTACAAAAATTATTGAAAGATGCATTAAGATAGTTGGTGTAAGAAATAAGCAGTTCACTCTTCAATAATAGCTTATTTTAAGAAAAAATTGGTCAAAGAATGGGTGTTGTAACTAGCTCAGTCCTAATTCCCTATATTTCAACCTCTTAATTCTGATTACATGTACAATGAGTGACTTTCTACACTAACCCAGTATCTCTGAATATAATTTGAGTTTGTGCTTTTCATTATTCGATCATAAAGTAGGCCTCTTTGGTATTAAATGTTCATCAGCCATGTTGCTAGTTAACTGTAAATTTCAGACTGTAGTTGTAACGATCATGTTTATAATTGTATTATAAGCCTCTGATATGCTCTTTTGTGTAACCTTTTTTCAACACTTCTTGACTGAGAAATACTTGTGTAGATGGAGAGATGGACATTCTTTGCATCAGCTTGAGCCAACTCATAGTGGACTTAAACCAAGAGCCTTACAGTTTATCTTCAATGCCATCACAGTAAATTGTTGGTAGACTTTAGCATTATGCTGGCCCACATCTGTTGTGTTATATGGTTTCAGTTTCAGGAGTTTTAAGGCAGTTCATATCGATATTTTTTAAGCCAGTGTCCTGTGCAGGGCATTAAAGGATTTTCAAGAAGACTGTTTAAGCTTAGCACCAGTGCCATCCAGTTTCTTCTCATTGACCACTTGACATTTTGATTCCCCCCCACACATTGTTTCTACATGTCTTCGTTTATTAATAATTGTGTTGATTGTTTTTCTGCTAGGAATTATGACATCCGTACATTTATGCTAGAATCTGTTCCTTATTGCTCTTACATGCCCACTTTTCACATAGTTATCATATTTGAATACTTGTTGATCTGATGTGTAATTCACACATGACAGTTTCACACAAGAAGCAATGTTACTGAGTGTTTAATACAGTAGCAGGGGCTGGGTATCATGCTAAGCCAGCACATAATATATAAGCTCACTTCACAGTAGCTGTTAAGTGTTTTATGTGGATGAAGTTGAGGAGAAATTATAACACGTGATGACTCTTGGTTTGTTGAGTCATCTGTTGGTTGGCCTGTATGGACGCATAGAGGATCTGTCTCCCTCACCTGAGCAATTCAGTGGTTTTTGGGTAGCTCTTAGAAGGTCACACTGTATTAAGTAGTGGCTTATTGTACCAAAATGATGATGTTCTGAATACCAGCAAAATTTGTAGAAACCTGGTAAGATTTTACGGTAGAGTTGTTGAGTATGGTCAGTTTTTTCAGTCGTTTGGTCTAGTTTTGCTATTATTTGGTTGTGTCTGTCACTGTGCTACCGTGAAGGTGTTGGCTCATCCCCACTTGACCCAAGCCCTGTTGGGAAGCAGTGGGGCCTCCCCAAATCCTGCTACTGGTGGTAAGGCGTTGGCGGGATCCAATAAGGAAGTGGCAGGGGCTGGCCCCCCCACATCACTCATCAAGAGCCTACTGGCTACCAAGGTAAACGCTGCCGGCAGTGAGTGCATGATGTCCCAGTCTGCTACTGTAGCAGCGAGTAGCATGATGCCTGCCGCGTGCTGTACTACCACTACTACCACATCCACCAAGCAGCCGCCCCCAGCACCGCAGGTAAACATATCTCATGCCACTCACCCTCCTTCAGACATTGGGTTCTGTCAAAAACACTTAGAAAAGTAATTAAATGAAATAGATATTTATTTCAAAAGGATTTTTTGAGTTTTCGTGCTTATAAATCAGTAAAATTTCTTTTGGTACTTCTTCCATCTTACTTAGCTTCAGGTGGTCGGTATTGATAAGACATGGAAGAATTAATTCGCAGTGATTTTGGAATTGTTAGTTAATTTATTAGAATTACATAGTGGGATATCTTGGTATAGTGATGGGCAGTGGACTGAGTGACCAAAGAATTCGGGTTCAATTCCCAGCAGAGGCAAGAAATCTTACTCTTCTCCAAAGCTTGCAGACAGGCTCATATTTCCAACCAGCCTCCTATCCATTGGTTAGTGGGGAATGAATTAAGCATGGGGAAAACTTTTTTTTTTCTGTGGCATTACAGCCCCAATTTGGGCCTAGGCCTACCTCATGAAACTCTCCGTTTCACTTCAGTTTACTAGATCTTACACGTTTGGTAGGACTCCTTGGGCGAGTGATCAGCTCATTGCAAGGCCTCTACCTGTAGACAAACACAAAAAAACGCACACAAACATCCGTGCCCTGAGTGGGATTCGAACCCACGATCCCGGCTTCCAAGCGAGCGAAGACAGTGCATGCCTTAGACCGCTTGGCTACCATGACCGGCTGGGGAAAACTTTACCTTTCTTAAAACTTTTACTTTTGTTAGACTTAATTTGTGTTTAAAATTAGGAAGCTGGGAACACATGAATAGGTTTAGAGAAGTGGTGGGTGTTATGTTATCATTAAGTCAATAAAGTGGGATAGCGAGAAATTAATGTCAAATTTTGGTTAGTAAACCTTAACGAGAGACCACATAGGGGAGACAGGTGTAGGGTGGAGAATGCACTAAAATCGGTTTTTGAGAAATTGGATATGAGGGTCTGAACTGGAATCCTTTGGCTTGTGTATGAGTCCCATTGAAGGTTCTTGTGAACATGGTAATGAATCCTTGGTTTCCTGAAAAGTAAAGAATATTTGACCAGCTGAGTAACTATTAAATTGGAGTCAGAGTCACTGCCACGTGAACCTCAAATCTCATAACTGTTAAACTTTTTGAGGAAGATCTTGTGTCATGAAGCCAGTTATTATGTCTGTGACATGCCCAGTATTACAGCATTATATGAAATTTTCTTTACAAAGTATGTATTAAACTACATTAAATATGACATTTGTTATTAAAGAACAGTTGCATAATGTATCGTGTTATGATGGTTGTCTGAACCTGTAGCTCTTGCAAAAATGCAGTAACAAATAAGACCCTGCAATAGAAGAATCTTGGAATGTGCTACAGATTCTAAGAAATGAAGACCCTGGGCTCACCAGGTGTTCTTTGTACGGTGATGGGCGACATGCTCGTTGGTTGGTTTGTTTGTTTCTTTGTATGCATGCTCTTGAAGTAGTTTTGTGGTTACTTCTGAGTATTGTTTTTCATTAACCTAGTTTGAAAGTAGTTTCGGATTGTGATTATACTAAATATTTGGATGTTGTGTGTAGATGTGCATTGTATTATTGGTACACTATTCAGTTATGGTGATAATATGGAGGGAAGTTGGAGGTAAGATGTTTTGTTTCAGAAAATCTGCAAGTTATTACTACTACCATGATCATTTATGCACTTATGGACATTGATTGGTGATACTAATGTAAGGTGTGAAACTTACATGGCAAATGTGTTAGGATTTTCTCAGGTTGTCAGTTGCATCACAGTTGAGTTAACCAATGTTTCATAGATATACTCTGCTGCTATTATAAAGTTATATGTCAAATTTACCCCAAAAGATGGAATCAGAAACATTAGTTTTTAACTCACCTGTAGCCATGCTAATGCTTAGCATTCCTTGCTTTTCTGTTTGACTATTCAGTACCTTTTATTTGAAATATTAAATGATCGGTATGGCTTTGAATTTTCTATATCTGTTATAGACTATTCTAAATCAGCTTATTTCATTTTGGATTATTTAATTATTCTGTTTGAACTGTAATGGTTATATTATGTCAGGTGAGATTAGAAGATGATCTTGAATGGCGAACAGGAAAGGTTCTAGATAAGATTCTTCTTTACGATCTGGGAAGAATTATGAAAATAGTCATGAAGTAGTTAATACAGATCTCAAGATCTTGGATGTGTCACCATGTAATCTACTGGATAGGTGCTTCCATTTTGGAGGAATCTGCTGCCATCAAATTTGCTCTTCTACCATGAAGACTGAGGCAGTAGGTTCCTCCAAAATGTTAGTACCTCTTTACCATTGCATTCAAGAAGACTGGAAACTTTATACAGCCATGAGAACCTTCAGGCCCAGTACAAATCTCAGTGAGGAAACTGGGTATAATGACAGTTTTGTAGTCCTTTAACTGAATACTAGATAGTGCTGTAAATAAATGTCAGTTGCTTTCTTCTCCTTCCCTTGTTGTTGATGCAGCTTTTCTGAGTAATCTTCATGTGAATGATCATTGATAGACACAGAGTTGTTATCTGGGGTATGATGCCATGTAGTTTGGTAGATAGCTACCAAATTTCAGAGGAATCTGCTGCTTCCATCTCCACTGTACCCTGAACAGCATAATTAAATAACCGAAGAATGAATTAATAGTTGGTGTTGGATATCCTGTGATTTGCCTAGTCATTGTCAAGCTGCTGAGGAAATAAGGGAATTGAAGGGAATTAATTCGCTTAGTAGGGGGTGGAGTCCAACTTGGTCCACTCGGCACGGTGGCCACTGATTTGCCTATTGTAGCCTGCCCCGCGTGATTATGAAGCTGGAGAATTTGGTGGAATGAAGATTGGCAGGGGAAACCGAAGTACTTGGAGAAAACCTGCCCCAGCACCACTTTGTCCACCACAAATCCCACTTGACCAGACCCCGCGATCGAACCCGGGCCGCCACAGTGCGAAGCCAGTGACTAACAACTTGAGATATGGCGCGGCCAAATGAAGGGAAAGTGTTTAAATTGTGTTATATAAAATTCAAAAGTTCTGCAGACATTTTTAGGAAGTTGTGTGTACAGAATCCCTGAAATAGAGTAAGGAACCTGAAAAACATTTGTTAAGGCTACAGGATTCATCTTCGCAAGCATGGTATAATATTACTGCAACTGTTATTGCTGCCCTTTGATGAATGCTTGTTGTCCCTGAGGGTCAGCCCTTTATAGATATCAGTCTGAGAGTAGGGCACATAGCTCCATCAGAGGCAGCAGGGGACCTGCAAGCCCCTACCTGTTATTTGACAGTTCTTTAACATCAACAGTAAGAATAATCCAAAAAATCATTTGTGGTTTCAAATGAAACCACAGTATCCAGTTCTAAGAAGCTGTAGTATTGGCCAATCAATATGAGGACACAGACTGCTTGTGTTTCATTGTGGGCGGAAGTTTGGCAGGGTAACCCTTTCTAATCATGTGAAGTCACATGGCCTGCAGTGTTCTAATCGATTTATTCATTAAATATATTCTGCAGAAAACTACATTTACAAGACTTGTGTAATTTTTTGTTATCCCTTACCATGCAACTTTGAGGGATCCTACATTTGTACTCTGGCAGTTGGTCTGATATTTCTCCCACCTGAGAAGCACTAAGTTGGTGTAGCCTGTCATGACATGAAGTTCATACCAAGTTTTATGAAAATGCCATCAGTGTTTTCAAAAGTTATTAGGAAGACACACTTAGCCTTGATGCCTTAAATCTCTCTCTCCTCATTAATAAGGAAAGTGAACCAAGAAATAAACATTTAACCTTATTTCAGTAGATAATATGTTTCCAGAAATGCTTGTGTACTTGTATTCTTTTCACCAAGGAAGTCACTTCTCCTTCTGGAGTTCCTCCATGGTAAGTGCAATCCATCGAACCTTTCCAAGACTCCTTCACATCATACTGAGGCACAACACTGATTAAGGTTTGCTTGATAAAATAATTACATTGTTGTATGTGAGTCAATCCACTCCTCTCTTTGTCACAGTTCTATAATATTTCACTTCGCCATAGTCAGAAATCTTAGTTTATCTAGAATTTAGTGTAAGAATATGTCAGTGAAGTCCAAGAATGAAGTTGTTCCAAGGTAGTTAACAGGTTAATGCATTTAAAGTTGATTCAGATGCCTTTTTTATGTGTGACTGTCAAACCAAATATAAAAAATATACTTGAACTTAACCTAAATTTTACAAGCAAATGAACTTACACTAGGGTCCTCTTCCAGAAGAACAAAGAATCTGTTAAAATTGAACAGAGACCAACTAAGGTGGATGGTAGGACTATTTACAGGACATTGTCACCTAAAAGGACACCTTTTCAAACCAGGTTTAACAGACGACCCTGCTTGCAGAAGGTGCCTAGGAAAAGATGAATGAGCCACATAATCTGCATGATTGCAAAGCCATAGCTTATTTAAGATTTTNAGCAAAGTCCTACACTTCATTCAAAGTGTTAATCAAAAGGGGAAGCACAATAGATCATTAAGAGTCGCAGTGCAAGGGCCGGTTTATTGTGGCCTACCCCTTATGCATTCATTCATTCATAATCTAAATTTCGGTAGTAGCTTTGCCTCCACCACAGATCTATTGATTGAACTGTAATTTTGTTGAGAGAACGTTATTCATGATAATTGTGCCCTGCATGAATTGCTATTCAGAGAGCAGTGCATTTGTTAATCAGATTCCTTGTATGAAACTGTCATACTTCTAAGGGCAAATGAACATTACCATAATATGATATTGACTATCATGAGAATTGTATAATAAAAGATTGCATATGTCTTATCAGATTTTGTAAACCTATAATTTCCAAAGCTGAAAGAAGATAAACATTTCATTCCTTTGCTATTTGTCTATACATGTTATTCACACATAAGGCATTCTGAATCATGGCAATGGATGGGGTTTTGTGTGGTCAGATTTACATTCTGTCCAGCTTTATTCTAGAATAGGGACCTCCAGTACCCATTGGTTAGAAGGCCAGGGTTGTCCCTTAGGCGTTTTCATGTTGTTGAGGAGAGTCAAATTTTGAACACCCTTGTGGAAAAATCAGTAAATGAAGTTGTGGTGTAAGTTCTATGCTTTTTGTATTTACCAGAAGGAACCTGTCTGAAGTATCTGTTGGATAAAGGGGACTGCTCCAGAGCCATTCTGGATGTGGCTGGAACAAGAAGTATTTCAACTTAAATGTCACCAAGAAATCATTTATGTTGTTAGTTTTGAACCTGTCACCTCTGTCTCTGGAAAGACTCCCATCAATGTACTGGAGATAGAAAGATAGAAGACTGAGTGTCATAGAGCCAATTTAGATAAGGTTATGAACAAAATGGCACCCTATGCTTGTTTGGGGAAATCAGTCTTTTGTGCCTTAAGCCTGTTGCCTGTGTTCAGAGGTGGATGTGGAGAGACTCTTGTTGTATGGGCTGCTGGACTCACAATAGTATGTAATGCTATGAGAATCATATTAACCCGCAAGTGTTGCAGTGTTGTCTGCTGCGACATGTGTAGTGTACTATGTGCAGAATTAGAATTTTATTATAAGATAAGAGGACAGAATAAATTAAGTTTATCTGTTGTTGCATGGGAAGTAGGAAAGTGTGATAAAATGCATTGTTTAGGGCTTATATGGTAGAGTTTCTTCTTACAATGCAAACTTTCCAAGAATGAATAACAGAGCATAAGCATTTCTAAATGTTTCTGACAGTGCTGTGCAGCCATAAACATAACTGCTGTTTCAGACATAGTCCATTGTCTTGGCATTTTTCGAACACAACTTTTCAGAAACTGGATCTGTGTCCATTGTAAGATGTGGAGGGGTAAAGATTCTGTAAAATAGAGTCAATCTCTCTGCTTTGGCCCAGAGTATGAACCTTTCTTTCCTTATACTTGATGATCATGGAAATAGATCCAGTTTCTGAAACATGTTTAAAAAACCCAAGAGGATATGCATTGTCCAAAATACTAGTCACACATACAAATCACAACACTTCTTGCCATGAACAGAGTGACAGATAATTGTGTTTATTACCATTAATTAATACTTTATTCCCAGGATATTGTTACCAAGATTTGGATGGAGGAATTATATAACAGAATTGACATTCAGTAATAGCAGAAAGTGTTCACGTGGCTGTCACATTTATTTAAATTGTATTTATTCTGCTCTAAAAATCTGTCTGTGCTCCAGTGTTTTATATATCATTAACTCAAAGATCACTGTGAATTACTGGTTATGGTGATATAAGTGTAATACAGGATGAAAGAAGAACAGCATGGAAATTCCTGTCTCATTAGTAGCAGATTGTGGCAAGCTACTTTCCTGTATCTCCTTTCAATACTTTATAGTTTCAATTGACTGTTTTATGCAGTAGAAATTGCATCAAATATGTCAGTAAAACTCATTTTCTTATTTCCACATTGAAGGATACTAGTTATCATTTGTGATATGGTGAGAATTACATTATTACATATAGTAGTAAAATTACATTCACAGAGACATTATAAGCAGATTAAATGTGGGAAATCTTCGTTACAGTTCACTTCACAAACGTTTTACTTCCTGTGTGCTGGCTAAAAATTAATTGATAAATATGCAAAACTGTATTTTAATTGTGATTTTGGGTGTGGAACTTGGTCATGAAAATATAGATTGAGGAAATTTGGGAACAGGATGCTGAGGAATATACTTAGACTTAACAAGAGAGGAAGTAACACAAAGCAAGATAGTATTGCATAATGGAGAGCATCATGATTTGTATTCTTTGCAAAATATTGTTAGAATGAGGAGATGGGCAGGGTATGTGGCACATACAAAATACATAGGAAATGTATATAAAACTTTAGTTGGGAAACCTGAAAGAAAGAGATCACTTGGGAGACTTAGACATAGATTGGAAGATAATATTATTATGACTCAGAATGGAATAGGACTAGGGTGTGCACTGGATTCATGTGCCTCAGGATAGGGCCCAGTGACAGACTCTTGTGGAGAGGAATTTCTAGACCAGCTGAGTGAATATTAGCTACTCCAGAAGGACTCTGTTCAGTGGACTTAGTTATATAACTGTTGTGGTTTTGTAATGAATGGAAATTTCAGATGAATGGTTTACTGAATTGCATGGAATTGCAGTGGGGTACCTTCCTTGATCAGGAACATGTACAGCAAACTTAATTAGCTAGAGATTGCACACTATTTGCAATTAAGCATTTTCATCTGTCCTACATGATCATGTATTTGGTTGCTTTATTTAACTGCCCTCATTTATTTTATTTAGAAAAAAAAGAAAGAAGTGGAATTGGAAGTGTGTTTCCATCTAGGGTATGTTTAAAGGCTGTGTTCTGCCAAATGCTTTGGCTGGCCTGTTTTCTGTATGTTTTAGTGAAAAGTGCCAGATCCCACTAGTTTCTTTAAATTTTAATGCAGCGGTGTTATATCAGTAGCTCTGTCCTTTCAAAATATTATGTGATATTTTTGCTGTATGATGTTGTGCCCTTTATAATACATCTTACATGAACAGATATTTCCTTGTGTGGTACTGAATTCTGGTAATGGTTCTGTTACTTATAGGTGGAAGAAGTGCAACATTAATTTTGATTGTGTTGGCCATAAACTAATATGTTAATGCAGTATATTTATAAACTGAACTGCTGAGTTCTCTTTCTCTTTGTGTTTTACATACTGATAGTGAAATTCCTATTTCATATTCCTTAATTTAATATTTCCCCTATTTAATGTTATGTTCCATTGATCCCAAGTCAGTTCTTATTTTGCTGTGTACATGTTTAAATATCTCCAAAGAATTATTTTATTCCTCCACAAAAATCATCAGTCAGGATTTGAACAGAAGATAGCAAAAGAATAAAGTATGCTTTGGTCTTTATTACAGTAGCCATTTTTGTCTCTTGGTATAAATGCAGCTATCTTTAGGTATTTTTTTATGAACACTCTAACAGTTTCCCATTGAAATTATGACAGAATTTATGCTAGTGTATTAATAATATGTAAACCCATTGCTTATTCTAGTATCAGAAGATCTTTCTTTATCATCTATATTTTTTTAAATTAAATTTACAATTTTTAATGATTATGCCCTGTGCCTATTTAACTTTGAGAGCTAACACCACATTGCTAGAGTGTGGGAGGTTAATTTATGGTTTATTGTGGGCTGTAGGTCACACAGCGCCAACAGCAGCAACGACTATTGCAGCAACAGCAACTGCAATCTCACAAGATGGATTCATCCTCACCACCACCTTTACTTCCACCCTCTACATCAAACAGTGTTCAAGGCAAGGGTGTGGCAAGCATAACCTCCAAGATCAAATCCACAACTGCTGTAATAGCTACGACCACCGCTACAGCATTAAAGAGTCCTGATCCTCGTCAAAGAGCTTCACGCATCAATGGGGCCAGGACACCTCTTCAGGTGCAATCGCAAACTGCGCCATTGCAATCACAGACACAGGTGAGAGATCCACATAAAATATGTCTCATAATGTGAAAATCATTGGAAATTCTTGTTTCTTTCCAGACTCCCATATTTTAGTAATGTCACATTCCTTACCCATCAGAATAATAATAGGTACATAAAAACAAACTACTTGCACTTGTTGCCACTTTCCAGTCATATTATTATTATTATTATTATTATTATTGGAGGGGGTGGGTTTCCCCATGCACCGTGACTAATAGTCTATTGTACGTCCCCCTTTGATATTCTACCAGTCACCATACCCTACCGGTACTGGTGTGTGCTATAAGCCCCGTTCAGCCAACAAGGTCGGCCCTCGGTACCTCGATACTTCCCCCATCTACCAGAGGCATTGGAAACTACTTGGGCGGGAAACGTGCCTAATTTTGCTCAGAGGTCTCCTAGAGACATGAGGATCTCTTACGTACCATAAATCTACGACATGGGACCCACGGCTTAAAGTCCCTCCCGGAGGACTTGTTCCCTGAATTTTTCCGCCCTTAAAAATTCCACGACCTCCGCCGGGTTTGAACCCGCATACCTTGAGTCATGAGGTGGGAACGTTACCCCTAGACTACGGAGGCCACTTTCCAGTCATCTTAAGTAAGGGCAGTACACCACACAGTGTAAGATATCTGGAAAGCACCCACATGACACATGTGCATAAGGTGGCCACCAGCTGGCTGTGTATACACTGCTATGTAACCTACACATGCACATACATGAGCTAAATTTCTTAACAGATAATCATTTATGAAAAATGTTTCCTGAATTTGTTGCTGTTTTCCTTTTGTGTTTGAAACATTTTTATCCCAAGTAATGGTGCATGTATATGATCTGTATTGTGAGTTTATGGTCATGTTTTATAATTTCCATAAAGATAAAATTCCATAACCTAAACCTTTTTAATGCAGTGATGCACTGTAAGTTGAAGTTATGTGAATTGGATTCAACATACATGATCTCAGTTTGTACATACAAGATGATTCAAATATGACGGGGACTGATTTTTAAAAAAAAAAAAACATAATTCAAACACTTACTTGCACATGTCAGTCTTCAACGTACTCCCCTCCGGAGTCAGCACATTTTTTCCAACGTTCTGGAAGCGTCCTGATGCCCTTTTCAAAAAGGCTTGTGGTTGGAGGTGTATCCACTCCCGAACAGTCTGCATGACGGCGTCATCCACAAACTGCATGCCTTGCAAGTCTGATTTGAGCCTCCGAACAGGTAGAAATCACTTGGGACCAAATGGAGACTACTACGGCAGATGTGTCAGAAGGTTCCATTTCAGTTTTCGGAGGGTTTCCATTGTTTTGGCCGTATGGGGGCGTGCATGTCTTGAAGGAAGGCTGCCCACTTCCACGTGTCTTCCGCTTGGATCGGATCTTCTCCTTCACGTCTGTTGCAAGGAGGTCTGAGTAATAAGCTGCATTGACTGTTCTGGCATCTGTCAGAAAGTCTACATGGATAACCCCCTGTCATCACCTTTCCTGCCGAACGGCTCCTCCGTGCTCTCTTGGGTTTGAGAGCACTGGTATGCCACCACTCGCATGATGACTGCTGGGACTTGGGAATGAAGTAGTGCACCCACATTTCATCAGTGGTCACTATAGACTTCAAAAATGCATCACCTTCATCTTCAAACTGCTGTAGGAGATGACTGGCAGCTTGCATGCACACCATTTTGTTCACGTCCGTCGAAGTGCATGGTACCCACCATGCATTCACCTTGCAATAGTGCAGGTGGTATTTCATGATGTTTTCTACACTACCAACACTGATGGACAGCATTGCTCCAAGTTCCTTGATAGTGATGTACCTATTCTCATGAATAAGCGTGTCTGCACGATCTGTGTTTGGCTCAGTGACGGATGTTCACGGCCGACGATCATGCGGTTCATTCTCCACGCGCTCTCTGCCATCTCTGAAACACTTGCACCACTCAAACACACGGGTCCGTGAGAGACACTCTTCCCCATGTTGTTGGAGTCTGTGGTGAATTTCAGTGGACGGCACGTTTTCTCCGAGGAATTAGATCACAATGTGTTGTTCCACGCTCCGCAGTACCTTCTGTTCGCTCATCTCACTAGCAACTCCCAGACAGGACTGAACAGGTTCTAACCCTAACAGGAGGGAGGGTGGAGGTTGTGCCTTCACTCTCTCAAGGTCGCACAACTCCTGCGCAGTGCGGCTTGTTTACACACAAATCAGTCCTGGTCACATTTGAACCACCTTGTATGTATATCATCACCAAGTGAGCCAGGGTAGCACTGTCGGTATAGCGACTGCCTATGGGCTGGACGATGGAGAGGTCGGAGTTCAAGTCCCAGTAGGGTCAGCATTTTCTCTTCTCCATATCGTCCAAATAAGTTCTGGGGCCCACCCAGCCTCCTATCCAATGGGTACTGGGGGCTCTTTCCCTGGGGGTAAAGTTTCAGGGGTGTGCAGCTGACCACTTACCTCCAGCTAGTGCCAAGGTCAGGGAAATATGCCTTCATGGCGTAGTGCTTAATTAGTTAAGCACAAGGACAACTTTACCTTTTGCATCATTACAAAATGGCTGATGTTAATTTTCATTTCAGATGGAACCATTAAGGGATACAACTGGTGAGGGCAGCGGTAATGGCTCCTGCTCCATGGCTGCCAACACTACCACCACTACTACTACTACTCAGTGTGTGGCAACTCCAGGAGTTATAATTCAAGTACCAACTAGACTGATCGCAGAAAACCATGTTCCTTCTCCAGCCCTGGCAGTTGGAGGTGGAAATCTTGCCCTGAGGGGTCGCCGAGAGCCCCCACAGCCACCACCTCCTCCATTAGCTCCTCTCAGTAACTCCTGTCCGCCCTCCAGACTGGATGTTGAGGACTCTGACTCGACAGGTAACAATTCTCTTGCATCAAGCAGCAGGGATTGCAGCGGCACATTTGCAGGCAACATCTCGTCCACGGATGATGGCGAAAATTCTCTTACAAGTTTTGAAGGCCTCTTGCTTAATGGCATCCCTCATTCACTCGATATTGATGCTGCATCGAATGACAGTAGCTCAAAAGATTCAGCACGGAGCTCCCTGCAACAGCAAAATCCTAAACCTGCAGGAACCAAGAGTCTCATGTTGGCAGACCTATTAGAAAAGAAAGTAGACAAGAAGGAACCTCCAATACTGAATGGTGTCCTTGGAAAAGAACTTCGTATTGGTGAGAAGGGTTTGGAACTAGTGGAAAACCATCTCGAGAAAGTGTTGAAAGAAAGTTCCATCATGCAGGCAAAACCAGTTGATGTTAAGGAATCCTCAAAGAATGTAGGAGGTATTAGTGATATTTGTAGTGAATCCATTGGTGTTGTTAGGACAGTGGGACAGGTTTCTAATAATCTGACAAGTGTTTCCACTATTGAAAAAGGAAATACTGCATTTAAAACAGTAGGTATTGGTACAACTGATGAGCCCCTCATGGGCAACTCTGTTTTGACCTCCAGTGAACAAGTGAAGTATGGGGTAGTGACTCAACAGACACAGACTGTTCAAGCATTGAAACGGCCAGCCCCAGAGAATCTTGGACTGGAGGATGGGATTCTGGAAGCAAAGCAGCAACGTCTGTCCACAGAGTCTGCAATGAATGGGGCAGCCTCTCCTGGACTTATTATGGCAAGCATAGAACAGAACCCAGCACCCCTGTCTCCAGGTTCAACAGATAAATCCACGTCATCAAGTGCATCAGCTGATAACACTGAAGTTGTAAATGCATCGCCATCAGCAGCAAATCTGTATGCAGCACTGGCTGCCTCCGCATTGGAAGACGAGCCTGACCTTGAATTGCCACCACCTCCACCAACACAAGTTCTAGTACAGAGTGCCAGTGGCCTGCGGCAGGCTGTGTTTTTGGGTCAGGGCGTTGAGTCAGGCTCACAGCAACAGCTGATAGTGACGGCTGCACCAAGGCAGATCATCGTATCACAGGGACAGCTGCCACCACAAGGCCAGGTCCTGATCACAGCAGGAGGTCAGCTCACTCTGCAGCAGGGATCTAATGCAGCCACAGCCACCATCAAGACTCCTGCAGGTCATCAGGCAGTACCTGTTCTAGTACAGACAGGAGGTAGTGCAGCTCAGAGGGCCCAGATATCTGCAGTGACCCATTCGCAGGGAGCACAGCTGGTACAGACTGGTCAGGTGGTGCTCTCACAGTCTACTTCCGGCCAGTTCATCCTTTCTCAGGCCCCAGCACAAGGGCAAGTCCAGTTGGTCCAAACAGGTAGCAGCCAGGCAGGCCAGTATATCGTGTCTGCAAGCAGCAGTTCTGGTCAGACTCATTATGTGGTTGCACAGCCCCAGACAGCACTGGTACAAGGTCAGACACAGACGGTACTGGTGGCACAGACTCCGCAACAGCAGGGCACAGGCGCCAAAACCATCATCATCCTGCAGCCCCAGAGCTCTTCAGCTGCCACTCACCATCAGAAGGTGGTTGTCACACCACAGGGCCAACCCGTTGTTGTGACGCAGGTTCCACGGCCTATCCTGCAGAGCCCAGCAATCTCCAATCCCCCTCCTCCCTCCATCCCTCCTCCAGCACTTGTGCCGACTTCAAATGCCCCTCCTCCACCCCCACCAGCTCCTGTCTCTCCATCTCCTCAGCCTGTGAAGCATGTAAGTACTGCCACTGTGGCTACGTCAACCAATACAGTCCCTGTCCATATGCCTTCCCGTGTTGCCTCTACTGGCACGTCAACTAGTCTACCTCCATCTCAACCACAAACCAGGGCTATCACTCCAACAAACTCATTGACCACCACGCTGGCTCCAGTCTCTCCGTCATCAGTAACTGCCACAAAAACATCAGCCAAACCGCCTCCCATTCATCCCACAGCTGTGCCTGCAGTTCCAAGACCGCCACTATCTCCATCACCCACTGCTCTTAATTCACCAAGGGCCACCCTTGTTCAGCCACCTAAACAAACAAGAACTTTACTAAATACAAGGCCACAGTCATCAAGTACTCCTATAATTGAAACTATTTCAGATAAGTCCACAGTCCAGAGTGTACGAAGTACAAAGTCGCCGTGCCAGCCAGCCCCTTCACAGACAAGACTGACAACAGCAGGGTCCATTATGGATCAGGCAGTCTTCTTGTGTGAATGGAGAGGATGTATGCGGTGAGTATTTCTGTACTTTCTTGTTTTAGTTGACAAATTCCAAGTCTTGTCATTTGAAGATGAGCTTGTTGCGATGCTTTTTTGTAGTAAATTGTGCTAGGAGATTCTTCATTTGTTCTACATGGTAACATGTTAATTGCCTCCCAGCATCCCTTTCTGACAAGTGACCTTTGAACATATTTAGGAAACCGTTTATAACAAATTCCTGTGCAGGGCTCCCCACCATCCAACTCATTCCCTAAAATTTGTTAAAAGAACACATTATGAAAAACAATTGTACAAACTATATCTGTGTACATATGAACATTTATTGCATTGCAGACAAACATAACTATGTGTGAATTCACTTTGTTGGTTGCTCAGTTCTCATATGTCACTTAGTGATTATTTTACTCCTAATGGATTTAGTTCTTAGAGTTCTTAAGTATTGCTTAAATATCTTGCTAAATTCCTACTAGTTTACTCTAAAAACTTTAAGTTCTAATTAATAAAATGTTAAAACTGATCCTTTTGCATTATGTTGCATGTCTGCATAATCCCTTAAGTTATATGATTGTGATGAACCTGTGGTGTTCTCATTTCATTTTAAATAAAACCTTATAACATGTGGCAGTGTGTGTCTGAAATGCTGAACAGGAATTTATATGTTCAGGAGCTTCAAATCTGCAAATGAGGTCTACATGCATGCATGTGAAGCACACTGCCCATTGGGCAGTGAGGAAATCCAATGCCTGTGGGAACGCTGCGATGCCATGAAGCGAAAGCGCTTTTCCCTCATGACACATCTGTATGATCGACATTGCAATGCTGATGTAAGTGGCTCTTGAATCTGTTTTCACAATTGTTTATAATTTTGATAATATGCAAATTTTGTCTTAATGTTAGAAAATGATTACATGATTTTATCAAGGTTCAGTTGCTCTTTAGATGAGTGTTTTTACTTTCTGTTATTGAATTAAAAATAAGAATTATTATAATGTTTATTGTCACCTGTGACAGAAAGAACTTAAATTATGAACCAGAATTGAGAAAGAGCTTGGGGACACCGCTGAAACAATGACTATACCTGTGATAGGTCCCAGTAGGCCAAACGCTGGCCAGGATAACTAATAATACAAATTCCACTATCAATGTAACTATACTTTGACTTACATTCCACTACATGTTTCAGCCCTTACAGGGCCATCCTCAGGTTCTGTGATTTACACGTTTTCATTATTTAATTGTAAAGTATGTGTACATATTTACATACATAGGCTTAAAATGACTACTCTGTGTACATTTATATTCTAGCACCTTGAAGTTGATTTAAATACAAGATATATATGGAACTAAAAATTTAAGATTAAAAGTTGATTTTAAATTAATTCAGAAGTGCCGTATGCTGCATTCAGCTACGTGTCTGTTTCTGTAGTAGGCCATGCATCTTTTCATCTGATTCTACTGTTATTGGTTAAATTTGGTTTTATTAACTGTGTCTTAAGCACAGATTTGTCTTCTTTCTAATCTCCATGATGTTGATTATTACTGTTGTTGTGTTTAATTTATGTGGTTATGCTCTGTTGCTTAGTCTGTACTACTACTTGCAACAGGGTGCAAATATTAAAAATACTGGCCAGGTTGATGATGACAGTGATTTTCTATTATAATGGATGGGTTGTTTCTGAACAGAGATTTTAAAACCTTGTGAATCTACCAGCCTTTGTCCCTTTACCTTCACACCACCAGTTATTATATACTCAGAAGTGATATGTTGGTATTGTAGGTATGTGTTAGGTTATAATCTGTTAAAGAGACTGTAAAGCTGAAATAAACTAGCATTTGGGTACCTAATTCTTACCAGGAGTGGAAATGTATACATCCTTAACTTGTATAGAATTATCATTATTACCACTCTTACAGTCTGTTTTGTATTCCCTGCATTTTCATTTACTTGCTTTTCCTCAGTCATGCCTCTTATTCATTGTATAATATTTCAGTTAGATGGCCACTATCACTTTGTAAAGAGCCCTATTACATTACTACAAATTATATTAAAGATTTGGTTGAGTGTATTACACCACATAATGACAAAAATAAATGCTCAGCTGAAACCATCATCTGTGTTGTGTAGGTGCGACATGTTTCGGCCTTACAGGACCATCCTCAGGCAACACGCTGTTTGAGGAGTCCAGTGCATTATGCACGTTGTCAATAGTATTCTTAATATGCATCATTATTTTTGTGTTATGGGATGTCTGTTCTCCTTATCCCTGTACTGTGGACGCTTTCTGCGGTGTATAATACATGTTCATTATTATGATTCTGACCGTAATTCTTGGGCTATGCTATCTTGGTATGCCTAGATGTGTTTATGTACTTTTGTGACCCATCGAGCGTGCTGCTTCCCTTCGTTATGTGGTTCTCGTGTAGATATGTGTTCCCTGTACTGCTTTGGTGTGATTTTGCTTGCTAAAATATCTTTCTGGGTAGCATGTATATTTCTAACCCTCATAAAGCTCATGTATTGTCTGGAATATGGGATTGTATGCTTCTATGTGGTGTGTTTAAAAAGTATCGAACCTTTGGTCGGCAGAAATACATTTATTGATTTGGAGGTACAAAACCTTAATCCCCTTCAAAGTAGTCTCCTTGGTAATGCACACACTTCTCCCAGCACTTCCGCCATTGTTGGAAACATTTCTGGAACACGTCTTTTGGAATGGTGATCAGCCGGGCCTTCACATTCCACATGATACCTTCTCTTGATTCAAATCGGGTTCCTTTCAGTAGCATTTTCAGCTTGGGAAATAGCCAAAAGTCACACGGAGCCATGTGGGGGGAGTAGGGAGCCTGACGAACCACAGGGATGTTGTGTTTGGCGATGAAATTCTGAATCAGATGGGCAGAATGGGCGGGTGCGTTATCATGATGGAGTTGCCAAGTTTTGCTGCCCACAGATCTGGTCGTTTGCGCTGCGCAGCATCACGAAGGCAACAGAGGAGCTCCTGGTAGTATTCCTTTGTGATGGTTTGGCCTTGTGGTGCGTACTCATGATGCACAACCCCACGGGAGTCGAAGAAAACAACCAACATGACCTTGACATTGCTGCGGACCTGCCGTGCCTTTTTTTGGCCTCGGGGATGTTGGATGTTTCCACTGTGACGACTGCATCTTGGTTTCTGGGTCGTACCCATAAACCCATGACTCATCGCCTGTGATCACAGTGTTCAGAAAGTTGGGGTTACTGTTTGCATTGTCCAGCATGTCCTGTGCAATTTCCAGACGGCGTTGCTTCTGCTCCATTGTTAGCAGTTTCGGTACGAATTTCACGGACACTCCTCATGCCCAAATCCTCAGTCAAAATTGAATGTACCGATCCAATGCTTACCCCTATCTCATTCGCAAGTTCTCGGACTGTGATACGACAGTCCTCCATGACCAAAGTCCGCACTTGCTCAATGACATTCTCATTTTGGCTTGTTGAGGGTCTGCCTGAACGCAGTTTGCTGTCCACTGATGTGCGGCCATCTTTGAAGCGGTTGTACCACTCCTATATACATGAGTTGCTCATGGCATTGTCCCCAAAAGCCTGTTGAATCTTGCGAATGGTTTCCACTTGGGTATCGCCAAGCTTTTGGCAAAATTTGATGCAGTATCGCTGCTCATGTTGTTCCGTCATTTTACACTGTACTGGAATCCGACAAGCGCTCACTGCATGTCCTCACTAATAGGCCGACTGCCAGTGACTGACGCTTTCTGCGGGTGGGAAAAAATTCACGACTGCGCATGAATGTCCCCTCCACATCTCCACTAAAGGGAGCCTCCCGCGCTTCATTGGTTTACGCGGGAAAAAAGAAGGTTCGATACTTTTTGAACACACCACATATATGTGTATCATTCATGTGTAAGTTGCTCTTACTAATTTTGTAAATGTGATAGTTTTCTAAGGTGTTTAAGTGTCTTCCTTTCCTTCCTGCCCTTAGGACATCCATAGTATCTGTTACTGTTCCATAGACATGTCCCATATTTAATATATGATTTGAATATTCAGAATTACTGTTATTACTTCTGATGGCATGAATATGTTCTTTATATCTAATTTTAAACATTCTTCCTGTTTGACCAACATATTTTAAAGGGAAATCCAGGCATTTCATCTGATATATGCCTCCGTTGTTATTCATCTGTCTGAGTGATGTTTCAATATATTGTTAATTGTGTTTTATGTGCGAAATGCTACTCGATGTTGGGTGTTTTTAAAAATGCTTTGTTATTTGTTTTACTGCTTTTCTGCAATATGTAAAAATGACCCACTTTTTTTTGTGGTTGTGATTTTGTTTCACAAGTAGATTTGTATTATACTCATTTCTCTTTAGTATTTTTTGTATAGTGTTTTCCTGTTTGTTTCAATTTCTTTATTATTGGATATGTGTGTAACCGATTTAGTAGATATTTAATACCTGATGGTTTATGTTCATATGGGTGACATGAACTATTAAGTATTATAATATCAGTCTGTGTAGGTTTCCTGTATATTGAGCATTCCAATTTTTTGTGTTTGCGGTATATTGTAATATCTAAATAGTTGATTTCCTCATGTTGTTCTTTCTCGATAGTAAAGTTTGTGGATAGCTGTATATTTTTAAATTCATTAAGTGTTTGTTCAGTGTTTTGTTTTGGTCATATATTTATGTCATCTACATTTCTATAATACACAATTACTTCTTGTGTTTTTAGAATTATATATATGTATATGTTTATGTTCCATGTGCTGTATAAATGTTTCTGCTAATATTGCTTATTTTGGGGCGCCAGTGGCCAGCCCCTCCGTTTGTTTATAATATTGTTGGTCAAATTGGAAATAGTTCTGTTCCATCACTATTTTCAGTATACATATAATAACATTCCGAATATTCATTTTTAATGTGTATTATCCGGAAGGTTTTAGTGTCTTTGTAGTGTTTGTCAGAGGAATCTACAACCGATTTTGTTATTTTCGGGTTTAGGTTCTGCGTATGATGGCAGTACGTCGTCGGCAGCTTTCTCAGAGTGGGAGGAGTGAAATTCCCCCACCCCAGCCTCCACCTCCGCATCCTGGATATGCCCCAAATGCAGCCTTTCATGCTATTAAAAGGCATGCACTTGAGTTTGTCAACCCCAAAGAGATGATGGTAAGTTATAGAACACTCTATCAGACAGGAATGGGAAATGTACTGGCAGGAAATGAAATAACCAGTAGATCTCATTCAGGGCTGTCCTGTGTCTTGTAGTTAAAAGTATCAGGTATGTTTTCAGATCTGATGTACACTGGTTTCTGCGCTGCTATTTAAATATATGTAATAGCAAGCAGGAACTTAGAACAGTGCTGTTTAGATAAAGGAATAGGCTTTTGGTTTGAGCCCAGCTTGTGGTAAACATTAACATATCTTTCTGTGAGCAAATATGTACTTAAAGCTAATACATTTTCTTTGTTAATACAGTTATTTTTTCATCCTGCAGCTAATACATTATTTTCAAGAATCCTATAGACCCTGCGAAAAGTATTCTGAGTTTGAAGTATATTTAAGTAACAGAAATAAACATATTGTAACTGGTGATAAGAAGTATGAATTCATAAATGATAACGTAACTTCTTTCAATTACAGTAAAGTGTTCCATGAACCACTGCTAAAGTACCTACATACATCAGTGAGGCAAAGCAAAAAAAGGCAAAGTTGTCCCTGTGCTTAAGTAATGAAGCACTACGCCATGAAGGTGTAAGGGGGGAGTGGATGTATAGATCACATTTTCTTGACCTCAGCACTAGCAGGAGGTGAATGGTCTGCTCCATGCCCCTGCTGCTTTACCCCCAGGGAAGAGCCCCTGTTACCTGTTGGGTAGGAGGCTAGGTGGTCTCCAGAGCTGGTGTGGACGATGTGGAGAAGAGAAAATTCTTGATCCTACTGGGACCCAAACTCCGACCTCCCAGTCGTCCAGCCTGTAGGAAGTCACTATACTGACTGCTATTCTGGCTCACATCAGAGAGATTGTGCATAAATAAATTAACAAATGCTTCCCCTTGACTTGAGCTGTATTTAATGAATCCATGGTACTGTATTTTGCATTCATTTGTCAGCTACAAAGAATCTTTGGGATTCCTATACATCTTTTATCAGAACTGATTGAACTACAACTAGAAACTTCAGCAAATATATAACAAGATTGTAGACCTAATGGTCTTGGGGAAAGACACTGGGTTCTCACTCAGGACTTCTAAAGTTCAAGCTTCATTCAGTCTGTGTACAGAATATGCTACTCTGAAATTGAAACCTTTACCTCTATCAAAGATAAAATCTTTCTAATGAGAAGAATGCCAGACACTCCCCATGATTCTGAGCACACATTAAGCTGTTGGTCCCGTTTGTTAACCATTTTCATGATCACCATACCATCTGGAGTAAGAGATTCTGCCCCTGTGCATGTCACCACTCCGAATTGGATTTTACACCTATGCCCTAGTGGGCAAAATTTAGAAAGGTTATCACACAGATCATGTTTGGAGGCACAAGACAGCAGCAAACGTCAAAATTATGCATAGAATCTGACTAATTTTTGTAGGTAATTAATTTTCATGGTCAAATATAATAAGTCAGTGTTTCAATACTATGAAACAACTTTACAGTTAGCCAGTGAAGTTTGCTTCTCAGTGTAGTGTGACAGAACATGCGTGAACCAGTTACTAGTGCAGAGGAGCAATACTGTTTTATAAAAACCAGAAATATTTCGTTGGAAGAAGTTTATTGAAAGGATGGTTCTCTGGAAATTGCTGAAAATTACAATTTACAAGGAGAAATAATTCATTGGGACCTCTTTTTTACTCTGCCCCTTTAACTAGGAAACTAGGAAAGGGGTCCAGTAAAAGTCTCATTGCAAAGCTACAAAACAGTATGGCATATGTACACTATTTGTGTATAGATATGATAATCCTCTTTGTAGCTGTTATATTTTCAGGTTTAAGATCTCAAGTGGTGGTCATATTAATGTTAATTATTTTATAAATATCCCACATAGATATATCCCATAACAGTCTTGTATTGCATTGTGACAGAAATATATATATTAATGAAATAATTGATATTAATGCAACGGGATACAATAATATTAATGTTAAAAATGCAAAATGGTGGGTGATTATTAAGAACATCTGACTACTTAGCAGTCAGACCAGTCAGTGGTTCAGCTGTGTGATTTTTTTAATGTGCATATCTAGTTGATTTCTTAGAAGTCATGAGCTGCAGATAAATTTTTGTCGCCAGAAGTGATATATGTGCATGAAAACTGATATTTAAAGACTTAAACTCTTCCATCATTACAAGTACTATGATTTTGGACATTATCCATCATCTTGTCTATTTTAAAAAAAGTTTCAATTTTAAAACACAACGTTTCGGAGACTGGATTCTGTCCCCGTCCTCAGGTAAAACCTACTCAATTGGGTCCAATAGACAAAGCTAGCCCCTGTCTCCTAGGTCTGAAGATAGGGGCTAGCTCTATCTATTGGACCCAACTGAGTAGGTTTTACCTGAGGACAGGGACAGAATCCAGTCTCTGAAACATTGTGTTTTAAAATAGAAACAGGACGGTTTTTTTAAAAATAGACAAGACGATGGATAATGTCCAAAAACATAGCATTTGTAGCAATTTACCATCATCACAAACTTTTAGATCTTATCTTCCATAATTGTTTATAATTTTATGTCCGTATATTTCACATGTTACGGAATTTGACCAGAAGTAAAGTTATTCTGTGCTATTAAGTAGGCAATATTCTTAATGTTTCCTTGCCAAATTATGTCTCCATAATATCCTCCAGTGGGGCTTGAGTAAAACCACATGCGTACAGTCAATCATTGAATTTCTTGGTGTTCTCTCTTGTTGACCGTGCTGCAGAGGCCTGCTAAGCCAGGGCCACCTGCGACTATTCCAGCTCGGACTGGCCCAAGCCCGCCCGAGCAGGTAAGCAAGCAGTGGGCACATTTGAAATCATTTTGTAGCATATAGCATTATTCATTAAGCATATACCCTGCATGTGTGTTCCATCCATCTCACACTGGAAAACTCTTCATAAAGAGCGTGATATCTCCATGTTTTGTGCAGTAGGTTTGAACGCCCTGTCACAAGCAAGTATGCTTTCTAAATTAATATGTCTTTTGATGATAATTGCAGTAATCAAAATCTGTATTGTGCTAGTTTGAAGTTTTGCACATTGTGAACCAGTATGCATTGCATGTAACGTTTTGTGAGAATTTGAGAGTTATTTCTACTGAGACTTAATATCAGCATTTGATTTAAGATTACTGGCTTTCTGAACTGTTTCCATCCCCAGATGGAACTGTTAAAAAGACCCAGTCTCAATCATTGAACCATTGAGATTACTATTTCAGCGCACAGCAATAAACTGGATCTGTTTCCATCCTCAGGTGAAAAGGTGGGAAGCATCTACTCTCACCACTGGTCCAAAGACTGATACTAGCTCTTTCTAAAGATCCAGTTGAGTAGGTACCTCCCCACATTGTCACCTGAGGACAGAAAGAGATCCTGTATCTGAAACATGTTCAGAATACAAGAGGATTGAGAAAGTTCAAATATCCAGTAGTCCTAAGTGTATGGTACCATTATCAGTGCTCTTTGGAATTGAAGTATTAGATTTGTTTGTTAGTTGCGTTAATCTTTGAATAACATTTGTATAATGTACAAATTTAAGTCACAGCCACTTTTAATATGTCTTTTTATATTATTTAATATAATAAATAGTTTTCAGACTTGTAGTTTATATATACATAGTGTATGTGTGTGGTTTTACTGAAGCACTTTCACCACCAACATTACAATAGCCTATATTTGTTTTTGTAGTGTTTGTTTGTTTTAATCTTGAAATATGATCTTTTGTTTTGGTAGCCATATGAAGCATGGTTCTTGAAACAGTTGCATGATGTTCAGTTGCACTAGAAATGTAGTGTTCTGGCCTGCTTGTGTTTTCTGATTATGAATATTTTTCTTAGTTGTGTGTGAGAGAGAGAAAAATGAACAATTTTTCTGCTTCTTCTTACTTCATCAGTATCAGGAAATGAATTGTTCAGTTTTTCATACATATCAAAGACTAATTTATTTTAGAAATAATTTTGATTAAAATTTTGTCTGATTTTTGAGATAAGTAAAAATTCCAGCCAGTATAATGCATCTTAGAAAACTGTGCAAGAATTGTGGGTTTTTTCTTAATGTAATCCTGACTGGCTATATTTGTAATGAATACTACTATTTTTAAAGGTTTTTAATTTGAAATTTCTTCATTAAAAGTTATTGACATTTCTTTTGATTCCTTTGCTGCCAGGAGCAAGGAGGGAAGGTAGCTGAGAAATTATGAGATAAGCAAATTTAGTGTTAAAAATTTAATGTATTTCATTTTAAAAGTATCACTTTTCAGCTTAACTTAAGTTTATTGTCAAGGTATCTTAGAAAAATACACAAGTAAGATGTTTCCTGAGTTTTATAGATGGAAACTAAGTGTAACAGATCCTTATATTACATTTTTTATCAGTAGCTTTTAGCTTTTTATGTGATGAAATCAAGTTTCAGCTGTAAGAAAGCTCTCTTCTTCAAGAGTAGGCATGAAGTGGACTGTATTAGAAGGCCTCACCCCATTTAGTTTTCCATATAAGAGACATTTAGTCTGAAATGGCTACGCTCTTTGCTTCTCAATTTGTTCAGTGACACTTAGCTATTTCAGTTTTGTATGATTAAACAGGATCTGCACTTTATGTCACTATGTGTGATGATCTGCTTTTGATTAAATTTATTAAACTTCTCTTAGATTCAAATAAGGTAGGGGTTATATTGAATTGATATGGATTAGAATTTTACTTTCCCAACATTTCAGAGAAACATAGCCTCCATCTTCAGGGTAGAATAATAAACCAAGCAGGATACCAGCAGAAGCATGCTGCTTTCGCTGGTTTCTTGATTACCATACACTTAAACCCTGAAGGTGGTGATATGTTCCTCTGAAATGTAGCGATTTTTTGACCTACAGGATGTAACAGTCTAGGCAGTGGTCCTCAAACTTTTTACCTCTGAGACCCCCTGACAAGAGAAAATACTCTCAGGCCCCCAGCCTGTTTTTTTATCAAAATAGAAGTCATTGTGTGTTTGACATTTTATTCATTTTATTTTGTTTTTCTACATACTATTTAGCAGCTTTTTTACTCGAAATTAAAGTATCACAATATTAGGCCTACAATATAAATTAGTCTTAACACTTGCAATTAACCAAAATATGTATTGAAATGAAACAGTATTTAACTAAGAAGTGTTTAATTTTTTCTGCAAAGAAAATCAAACATTTAAATATCAAAGTTCAGTGTGATGGATGGGCCTGCTTTTGAAGACAAAGTTTATCAAAATGTGGTATAATATCAGAAATGTCCAGTCTAACTTCTTTAGCAATATTTAGCTTTGAACTATATTTTGACTTTATAGCTGCCAAAGCAGAAAAGCCTCTCTCACATAAGTAAGTTGTTGTGAAATGAATCAGTATCTTCAGTGCCTTTTGGCTCAGAGTTGGGAATTCCTTGCCAATATGTATCCGGGACTCCAACAAAGACAGTTCTTAAATTTACTTTTTAATGAAGCATATGTATCACTAGTGAGATCGATGAGTTGTTCTTGCTCATTTACCTTCAGAGATGATGGCCCAGGAGCATTTTTAATGGATTTTTAATCCAATTAAATTTATCAAAATCATTGCAAAAGTATTTTTCGAAATGAACTTTCAGCATTGTGAGATGATCAAGTAGGCAGCTTTTTATGTCCATTGGAAGCACTGGATTATCAGTGTCTTGTACCATTGACACTAGAGTAGGGAACATGTCTAGCATGTCACTTTCCGTACTGTTTCTCCAGAGCTCTAATTTTCTCATGAATGCCTTCACTTTGTCATTCCAAGAAAGTACAGTTGCCTCATTCCCTTGAAGTGAAGTGTTGAGGATATTTGGTTTCTCAAATATATCTGTGAGGTAAGCCATTCTCAATAAAAAATCCTTGTTGCTGAAACTGTCTGCCAGTGAGTGATTTCCCCCATTTAAAAAACAGAACACCTCTTGCCTCAGCTTAAACATTCTCTTTAATACCTTGCCTCTTGAAAACTATCGAGCATCACTAAAAAACAACAAAGCAGTGTGTTCAGCACCTAGTTCCTCACACAGCATTTTAAAAAGTCTAGATTTCAGAGGATGCAGCTGCTGCCGAACTATCAACACTGTCTCTGGCATACGCGTTTTATAATTGCCGGTAAAGAGAATAATTATTAGTTATTTTGAAATTCATAATAATTAAAGCCTGTACTCATCAAAAGTTTTCTATGTGTATTTTTATTTTTTGTTACTTTCCTAATTGATTTAGGGCAGTTTTAATTTTTATCTGTAGGAAAGTATGCTGTGCCCCCTTTTCAAGCCCTTTGCCCCCCCCCCTTGGGGTCGCGCCCCACAGTTTGAGAACCACTGGTCTAGGGGATCTTCATAGTTACTGCTGTGAACCCTGAAATCCAGCAGCTTCTGGTTTTATTGTGACACCATATTTTATTGAAATGTGTTGCATACATTCAGAAATTAAACATTTTGACAGACATACTATCTCATGTGTTTTTGTGTGAAAAGTGCAAAAGAGGACAGCGTATTAGTTTTGGCTTTTTCTCAGCCCTCAAATGTTTTGATGCCCCTGATTAGTTATTTTCAAGAATTAAATTCCAGACTAATTGGTAGCATAAATAGTAAGAAGGGCCACTCATACAATACAAGTGTACAGTTGCCAACAGTGCAAGGGCATAAAAGGATTTTTGTTTCTCAGCTGTTCCAGCCTTTACATAAGTTGGAAGGGTGTAAGTCATGTATGGAGTATTGGTTCTGTTTTTTACAAATTTTGAAAATGAAAGGAGAGTGAAGCATAGCCCAGATCTTGCATAAACAAAATAGATGTTAATTTTTAAGGAATTTATGTGTTTCAAGTGATAAGCAGAAAATGTGGACCTGCTCATTATGTTGCTTCCAAGTGTCAAGAACGCACCACTGATGCATATGACATAATACTCGAAACAGTACAGTACAACTTAGTAGCTCTGTGTGTCTCTGGGTGTGGGTCACCTCTTCTCTTATGTGTAGGCTGGTATAGATGTTTAATATTAAGTGAAAGAATTTCAGTAGGATTTTATGGATATTGGTAATTGTCATTATATTTATGATTACTAAAAACCAGTGCTGTTTTATAGTATTTATACATAATATGAATATTGGTAGTTTCTTTTGCTGTATTCATATTGAATGTGTATATGTGAATAATTAGCCTCTTACTGATGTTGCTCAGTAATTCTGTGTATACAGTAAAGCCTGTTTGAAATGGAAAGCTACCTTTTGCTAAGAAATACACAGATGGAATGCTGAAGGAGATAATCAGCTAACTGTTTTGAGTGGAATCATTTGGCATTATACTGTTCATATCAAAATAAAATGTTAAGTCATCTGAATATAGTAAATTTATTTTCTTATGCCAGCTAAATACTGTTAATACCGCAACATGTTTCACTCATATATGACCATCTTTGAGGGTGGAGGGGGTCAAGTATTCAAGGAAACTTTACAATTTGTATGTATGATAAAAGTACATTTATTGAATGGAAGCCTGTCTAAACTAAGATTTTCAAGTTCCTTTGAATTCCGTTGAAAATAGGTTTCACTTTGTATGTCATAATGTTATTCTTAGTCTAAAAGGATATGAAAATACAGAAATTATAATTTTCAGGATGATAATGAGGGCCCTGTTACAAAGAGCATCCGACTGACATCTTCACTTATTCTGCGTAACCTAGTCATCTATTCTACAAATGGAAGAAGGCAAGTTAGTGCATGAGTAGATGTTAAGTAATGACCGTATTTTACAAAAGTATACTACATTATTTACTATTCTATCCAGGCCCGGAGACTTCCCTTATTAATGCACTTTGATCTTCATTATTTTTCTGTGGCATTTCTGAATGAATACTGTGCTGCTTGCATACTTTTTTTTTAATTCGCTAGTGGGGGGTGGAGTCCAGCTGGGTCCACTCGGCACTGCGGCCACAGATTGGCCTAGTGTACCTGCCGTGGGTGATTATGATGATGGAGAATTTGGTGGAATGACGATTAGCAGGGGAAACCGAAATACTTAGAGAAAACCCACCCCAGCACCACTTTGTCCACCACAAATCCCACTAGACCAGACCCGCGATAGAACCCAGGCCGCTGCGGTGTGAAGCCATCAACTAACCACTGCTTGCATGCTTTGAGAAAGGTGTAGTTATATTGCCTTGCCGTGACATGGCATATCAGATCTAAAAATCTCTTAGGCTCTTATATTTTATTTTAATTTGAAGTGAAAGGTAAAGTTGTGCTTGTGCTTGTGCTTAGTTAATTAACCACTACACCATGAAGATGTGTAAGGGAGTGGAGGTATGGCTCCACCATTCTTGATCGCAGCACTAGATTGAGGTGACTGGTGACCTTCATACCCCAGGGAAAGGGCCACTGGTACCCTACGGATTGGAGGCTGGGCGGGCCCCAGAGCCAGTCTGAATGCTGTGGAGTATAGAAAATCTCGTACCTCTACTAGGAATCAAAGAAGGCTGTCCAGCCTGTAGCCCATTTTAGTGGTGTTTTATGTAAAGTGGTTGACTGAAAGGAATTGAACTACATCTATTGTCCAAGTCAGTACTGAAAGCAGGTGGTAGGTTTGCCCACTTTACCTAACGGTGTGGGCTCATAAGGAATTCTGCTCCTGCTCTGTGCCACTGTCTGCATTCAGTACTCAGTAAATAACTGTGTAGCAGGTAATGTATTAAAAGTAATCATAGCTACTGTGCCATAGCTCAAGAGGTTAGTTGCTGGCTTCCCACCACGGCGGCCCGGGTTCAGTCCCGGGTCTGGTCAAGTAGGATTTGTGGTGGACAAAGTGGCACTGGCGCAGGTTTTCTCCGAGTACTTCGGATTCCCCTGCCATTCTTCATTCCATCAATTGCTCCACAATCACCCTCACATATCATCTGGGGCTGGTACAATAGGCCAGAAGTGGCCACAGTACAAGGGACTTAGTCCCACCCCACTAGAATTAAAAAAATTAATCGTAGCTACTAGTAACAGTTTATATAATACATATGAAGACATGTGGACTGGTTATAATATTGAAGAGTTCTATCTTCTGAGATATAACACTGTACAGTCTGTTGAACATCGGCCACCATGTTGGAGGAACGTATCACTTCCATCTTCAGGTTTGAAGAAGAAGCTGAGCAAGAAACCAGTGTGAAACAGGTGACAAGCAGAGCAGAAGGTAGAACTCTTCCTAACCATATTACTGTGAGAACAATAATTCCTGCATGGTTATAATAGTATACTAAAATGGCATTCCATAATATTGTGATGATATCTGATTCCAGATTTCTACGAAGTTATGAGCCCCACTTGGCCAGTGTGGCATTAAGCAATGTGGAATCATCGCGAACAATTTCCCAAGTACTGTATGACATGAACCAGCAGACAAGTCAGAGGTGACCCAATTAGGTTTAGCAAAGCTGATGAAAGGAGCCATAGTGGTGGTCACATGGAACAATGTCTCGAATTGTAGTGCGTGCCAGTGTCAGTGTCATGAAGAAAAGTGAATGCAGTAGGAATGGCATTTTCCACCAAGTTATCTGATCTGGTGTGCATTGCTCTTATCGTTGTATATTTATTTTCGCAGTACCCCAGTCTCTTGTAGTGATTCTGAACTGTTGAAAAATGTACAAATCTTAAATGATCGATGTATTGAAATTTTTTAATGGAGAAGCAAGCTTATTAAGGTTGTTGGACAACTTTTTATGAAACACATAATTTATACAACTAGGCTTTGAAAACTGTTGTCAAAATGCAGGTGTAAAGAGTAACTGTCTCTCTCTCTCTCAGCAGTGTTGTAAATTATTGTTGTCATTTTCTCTGATCCGCACTTAACTCTAGGACGGAACAACATGCTTTTACATATTTTAAGGACTTCTTAACGTTGGAAGTTCTGTTTGTTTTTTTACATGACTTCTTTGTTGCATTACCCATGGAGATAAATGTGCAATTCTTTTTTCTAATATTTATTGGCAAAAAAGTGATGTATATGCAAACATTGTATATAATTTCCCATCGCATGGGCAATTCCTATTAGAGCAACTCTGGATGTGGAACCCGTGTCTGTTTCAGAAATTGTAATGTAAGTGTCATAGAGTAACTAGTATTTTTTTGTGTATAGGAAACCGGAGGAAAAAGAATGTGCACATCATTTTAGTGAACAATATAAATATTGTTACCGTGTTTAAATTTGATTTCATCCACCTGGACCTTGTGCGAACAGTGGTAGCTTCATCATGACTGACTGAAAATTGGCCCAGTTATAATTGGTCTTCAGTAATCAGTATTACAAAAGGAAACCATAAGAGTTGGAAGACAGCAAGATCATTCTTATTTTTTTAATCAGGAGGGTTGAAATCTTTACTTTTGTTTGAATTTAATTCTTGTTTTCAGATTAGAAGTATTGAACTCATTTAGACTGTTTAAACACTATCATTTTTGGAAATCAGAAAATAATATCATTCCATGGCACAAGATGCACCTCCATCCCATTTAGTATTGGCCCCAATATAACAAGGCAACAAACAGATTTATGCTGCACCTAGGGAAAAGAATGCAAACCAGTCCAGCCACATGTACCATACAGGTTTCTGTCAGTACTGTATTCATGGTCTATTTTCATGTGCTTTTTTTGTCATTTTTTGTATGAAAAAAAGTAGATACATTTAGGAAGCACTGTACAATGTTCATAAAAAAACACTTTCAGAAATAAATAATTGCATTTATTGATTTGTAATAATATAGGTTTGGCTGCAGAGCAGTAGATTCCAGTTCCAGCCCAATCCAGAATAGTCCCTTATAATAATTCTGACCTGAATATGTAGCAGAAGCACTGAAATTATGTGGTCTATAGATGATGCAATCCCTGTTTAATGTATATTTATTGGAATGGCATTTCTTACATTAGCAGTTTTCACTGAATGGAAGTTGATGCAGAATTACGCTAAAACAAAATGTGGGTTATATTCCAAATTACAGTTCACAAACTACAGGAATACTAAATGTAAATTATATTATATTGAAAATAGTGTAGTGCACTGGATAAATGTGAATAGCTTATTGTATTTAAAGTTTTGAAGATGCTGATACATGTTCCTACTATCATTTATATGAATGAAGCCTTTTAATAATACAGATGTTGAATACTGGAGAAAGCTGGGAGCACTGAATGGCCCTTCTCTGATAACTGCTTCTTCTTTCTCAATTGCATTTATGATATGTTAACTAGATTTTGTGTCTAAAAGGTTTATGACAGTATTTGATTTATTATACTGGGATTACATTGGACATATCCATTGCCTGAGGTAAAAATAAGTGTACATAGGGCTGGAAATTGGAGTAGATGTGAGTAGATGACATCTGCCTGGTTCAAGAGCATTTATTTTGAGGAAGCTGTTTCCATTTCCTGAAGACATCATTGTTCCCAGCAAGAGTACATATAAGGACAAATGCACAAGCCAGAATTGTAATAATTTCCTTTTAATATTTGTTGATCAATTTCCCCCAGGCTCATCTGCTGACCTTGGATTGTCTACTTAGTCGTAAAAGCCATTTCCAACCCTCTTTAGACACAGAATTTTATGAATTTGATGTACTCCTATCTTTAGGTTACAGGACATTCTTATTTTGTTAGTTTTTTTCTTAGATGTTGCTTTTGGTCAGGAAGCCAATCAAGTCCATACCACCTCATCCTATCTCTCTAAGATCAATTGTAATATTATCCATCCACCTATGTCTTGACTTCCTAGTGGTCCCTTCTGGCTTTCCCACCAAAATTCTATATGCATTTCTCTTCTCCCTCCTTCATGCTAAATGCCCTGTCCATCTCATCTTCCTTGACTTGAACATTCTAATTATATGTACTTGGCAAAGAGTACAAGCAATGAAGCTCCTCATTATGCAGTTTTCTCCATCCTCCTGTCACTTCTTCTGTGTTCAGTCCAAATATTCTCCTCAACACCCTGTTCTCAAACACCCTCAGTCTATGTTCTTCCCTTAATGTTGGAGACCAAGTTTCACCTCCATACAGTACCACATTGTTTAATATACTGTGACGTGTTGCGCTATGCAGGACC